CCCTCCCCTATCCCCTGGACTAATTTGCTTGTAACGTTGAACGTAATTTACCCACAATTTACTTTTCACGCCTTACCCCCCTCCCATATAAATGTAGTGGCCCGATGAGAATTTATTGAAAGTATACGTATGTTCGCCAATTACTCTTCGGATTTCTCTGATGGGAATTTTTGCAACCATAACAAATGTTTATTTAATTCAAACTAAGAAGAAAATATCATGAGGTTTTCACAAGAGCGATTAGAAAATCGACAGGCAGCCTTGTACATAGTTGCTGATAGTTGCATCTATAAGAGCATTAATCACTTTGCAGGATAGAATAAATACTAAAGGTTAAGGCATTGAAAATAATTTTATAACCAAGAAAAACAATTGGTCTATCCTCACTATGACAGACTCGATTTCATCCTGCGTTACCTCCCAGTCCGTATCAAACAAAATACCTTTACCGAGGTCTGTATGGCGTCGCAAACACTGGTCTAGCAAAGGCTAGGTTGAACAGTAGAGGAACCGTAATAAAGACGTCAGAGTTGTGGTAACCTTAGTGATAATTTTGAGTGTATATGGACGTGCAGTAAACGTTAACTAGAGGGCCGACACCCGTTTTCGAATAGAAATTAGTGCTTACTAGCAACCAGTACCTAATTAAGGTTCTACTAGTAGCGTGCAGTATAATCTGACAATAATTCCGTCACGGCTGGAGGCCAGTGTTCTGAACGAGCTTCTTTTGGGCCGCCTACGGAAACTACATATTGTCAAACATGACTTCTCATGCCGTACATATTTTCTCATTTATTTCCGAAACCATCATATATTTGTATACACAGTGGCAGATACGCGCTCACCGGTCGGTTACAGGACTCATCTGCTTTCTACTGCCTTTGAGCAAACACTCGCGTTCCGCCGGCAGCCGCACAGTGGCTAATGATATTGGCAGAATGCTATTACCGACAAAGACAAGGGCGACTGGAATGGCCATTTCTGGCTCATTAGCCCTCATCAGCTCGTAACATCCAACCCCATGTGGTGCCTCATCCGAGGTTCGAACCCACGAGCTTGTTGATTAGAAGTCCAACGTCCTGACCACTGCGCCACGGGCTCGTTGTCTTACCAATTTATAGTTTACAGAAATCACGCATAAAAATATACTTTTGTACTCGTTCGGCGAAAATTTCGCCTTTCAATTTTATACTTAAAACGGATTAAATCCCCAAACCATTTTAACCAAATCTGCCGTTACATTTGCATTTAGCGTTTCCGGACTACGAGATGTATAAACTGCTTCAAAGAAAGCATACAGTGCTCACAGCATATTTAAATGGATAAAGGGCCACAATGTGCACTTTACAAGCAGCAGTAATAAATGGACAGATAAGTTGCCTTATATATGAACAGCTGATGGTCTTACATCAAGTTCCCCTTTGGAAACTTTCTTGAAAACAAAAACTACACTAATTTGAATAATACGCTCTGAAGAACATATAAGTTGCTACCAAGTACGTACAAGAAAGGACATTTTTGTACATGTTTGGAAATATCTTGTGAGCAAGCTGTACGATGATCAATATAACGACCTCACAAAAGTAATATTTTCTAATCAAGAACGCACTTCAGAATTTCGGTTAACATTTCATGCGATAGTATGTCTACCACACCTCCAAAAAGTCGCTGATTCACGGTCATTCGCATTTAAATAGAAAGTAACCTGTTTATCGTGAAGAGTGCATCGTAAGATGCAACGCATTGGGAACTCCGGAAAGGAACTTAATGTTTACGATGTCTAGAAAGGGAATCGAAGGAAGTTGACATAATGTATCCTGTCGACCTGTCGAATACGGTTGACAGGCTTCGAAATGAGGATGAGCCTGGACAGCTAAGAAAACACCCTTACATAAGGCAGCATGAAAAATTAAACGACAACATACTAACAGCACACCCAAGGATTGTAAACAAGAAGTCACAAGAAAATGTGACAAAATGGGGCCTTAGAAATGCGAAAGTTCCTGGAAGCAGTTGAAAAGAAAGAGACGCGATAACTGGCCCATGATGGTATTAACTTGACCCTTTACCTGACAGTGTCCTTAACGAAAGGGTTGTATTATGAGTTCAAAAGGTCGGATGCATAAAATACTTATCTTCCTTTATAAGACAAGACGTAAAGGCAAAACCAGTTCTTAATAGCAGAGTGGTGCTCACACATCGTATTGCGGGACATGCTCATTTTGTTGAGCCTTAGGTTCGATAATCATGGGTTTGAAAACTTGCAGTTTGGTATGGCTAGCTGATGATGGCTAATAATCTATAAATTGTTATTTCAGTCTCTTTGGTTTTAGTTCGATGCTAGCATTCTGTCTATAATACAATTTTGGCATAACAGAAATATGGATATCTGGAGGCTCCAATGCGGACGTTTCCACCATCGGCACTGAATCGAGCAGCATGCCAAAAAGTCGCGACCTTGTTGTCCTGTAAGGTGTAACTGTCAACATCACTTTCTACGGTCATGGCGCTTCGAAGACGTGATTGTGCGAAAGAACGTGTCAGTTATGTTTGTACTTCTAGCTTCAAATGCTAACCCTTGGGCTCACTATGCTGGTGTCAGATTTATACACTGACTGACTAGGTTTTATCCGATGTCCAAGCTTCAATCCATGTCCGCCTTTTCGTGCTTCCGAAGTTGGCAAATATATTGGCGGTAGCAAAATTGAATGACCCGTATGAATGAAAAGTTCGCGTTCCAGGTATTTGGATGGATAACTGAGAAGACTTGTCGAACGCCAGATCCTGAGCTTTCGATCCCTTACAAGAGTCCGTCTTCAGACCCCGAACGATCCCCGACTCCATTGATAGTTAATTAGTCTACACCACTATAATTGTTCCTCTCCCATCCTTTTGGTTGCTGTTTCCTACCGGTTGACGACCTAATGACTTCTGACAGTTGGTTGGCCTATGGCTATTATAATTACCTGCCTTTTGTTTGCTGCTTTTTATCTCTGAAAATGGACTCTTGTAAGGGTTCGAAAGTTCAGGACAATAAACAAATCGATCCGGTGCACGACAAGTCTTCTTCTTTATCCGTGTAAATGATCCGTTTCGAAGTTCTCGACAGCCACTTGCGATAAGTAGCCGTCCCATTGCATCACCATGCATGCGTTCAGTCTCACGTGTAGAGTTACAAGGAAGATTTAGGCACAGTTTGAAATACACTAAACCAGACTGTTCCTTTATACTTAACCGGTTCTTGACCCTGCTGCAAATGGTAGCTTTGGGTCAGTAGGTAATTGCAGCACCAGTTTCCGCAGGAATGCGCTCAGTGAATTCGGAACCGTCTCTGATGTATGGCAAAGCATACCATATCCTTGGTGTTGTTTCTGTTTGGGTTCTTTGGGGGACTAACAGGTAATCACTAGACAATCAATTTGCGCAAAAACTTCGTAAAAGGATGTTTCCGACTGACACAGACTTACGCAAGAAGAAATGTTAAAAATGGCTGACATACAGTGGCGGGCCGTTTTAGTCTACTCTACTCACCCTTTGGGGGATTATTAAAAGCCAGCAACTAATAACCGGATAGTTAAGTTAGGCAAGTTAGGTTACGGAAAAGCCCGTTGATGAAGGCTATTTTGGGATACAGTTAGTTTGATCACATTTTCCTCCCACTTTTCAGCTACACTTAAGATTAAGATAATAAGCTGTTTTTATTTTCTGTGTTAGGTCAGCACCGAAGGGTGTACGAGATTAACACGTGTGCTATTGAGATTGGCTGTTAGCCTCTAGATCCACCCCTCCCCCCAGAGCAATAGGTTTTTCTCCTAAAAAATTTCAAAGAGCTTTGTCACTGTTTGCTCTTTTTTTAACTATGCTCCACCTCATTGGCTCATGTCTAATAGCCTCGCCAACAAACTGGAATACTATTTTCCTGATACCACAGTACGGATGTACAAATAGAGAACTCAAAGGTAAACCACCTACATCCCCCTCAAATATACTGATACTGATATAATTTGGTACATATAAGTCAGGAGTAGTTCCTAATAACAACTATTTGAGCATATTCTTGATCGCAAATGTGTATTTTCTTCCCGAAAACAATTAATAATGAAAAATGTTCGGTTGCCGTGAATGAGAAAAGACCCGTTATGGCTGGAAATTATGTCTGAGCAAGTGTCAGATGCAATGTAACATCGTAACTTACTTTCTCCAGTTTGTTCATGGTCTCCCAGTAACCAGAGACGCCTTGAGCTGACTCAACAGCATCCAGTTGGCGTTTGCATTGCTTTTCCACCGTTTTCAAGACGTCAACTGTACGTGAAAGGATGCCTTTTTCAGCCTTCAGATGACTCAGGATGCCGCGTTTCTGCTTGTAAGTAAGGTTCTTATTCCGCAGCTCGGTGACATAGCGTTGAAACTAAGGGCAGGAAAATTTGAAAACTAAATTCAATAGAGAAAGAAACCTACGGTGGATTTGTGGGAACACATCAACGCTGAATAGTGCATCCAACTGCAAAAATCTCGGTAAAGTTGAATTTAAAATTTCCACTGATTTTTGACGACCCTGTCAGTTTTAATACATTTTCTATAGAGTATGCCCGTAGAAAGTATGCAGCGATTATTTGGGACGTAACCAAGACTGCCTATATATGTTATAGTGAAGGTAAATCCGGATCATGAAAAGATATATTTGTGTGCCGTATAATTTCCGCGTATGTGTAATTAAGAAATGGAACAAACAGTAGATTAATAATTACTGCAATATCCCAGTGGAAATTCGGCGACTCATTTTTGCATTCTAAAGCATAGAAAAATGCCTGTAAGTAATCCACTATGGCAAAAATACTCCAATATAAAGAGAAAAGTAATCTCTTTCATTTCCAACCAAACTTTATCATTTGTCCGCAGGTAATTTAAAAAGCTTTTCAAAAATCTGCATTGTCCCTTTGACATTATCCTGGGAAAACGTAGCATGTTGTACATCTAATTAAATTGCATTTTAAAGGGGCAAACTTTATACACATATATATTTATTAATCTAGAAATAACAATATCAGGCTTCTCTTGCGGAAGTTCTGTTTGCTCGACAACGTGTTTTGCTGTTTTCAGATATTTCTAAATATGGTTCACATGTCCATCTTCATAAGAACTAATATCCAAAACACATTTTTCTGTAATTGCTTTTAATATATACCTTATTTTAAAGATTTTGATATTAACGTCCAACATAATCTGTATAAATGAAAACAAAGGCTTGACAGCACTGAAAACGCTTGAAAATGTATTCGAAGGTTCATCTGTAAGTCATTGTAATTAAATAAAGACAATATCTGCAAAGTATTTTGAATAAGAAAAAGACATTTTGATTATAAAAGTGGTTAGGTTATACATTCACATTACGAAGAGACTTTATTTAGTGTCCTAAATTATAGCTATTTTTGCGGCTCCGGAAGCTGGGGATTATCGAGAAAACAATTTTTCTTAACAAACAATTAGTGTTTCCTATACCGCTTTTAAGTATAAAATTTGTGTAACGTTGTTCATTATTATTTCTAAGTTTCTTAAATGCGTTCACGCCGGTATGCGAGTAATTATCAATGTTTTACAAACTTAGAGATTTCGCATGCAGCCCTCGTCATACTGTATAAGAACACATCCTATAGGGGACATAAGACCTGTCACGAGTGCCAAACACGTTGTGTACTTCATAAGCAGCATTAACAAACGGACAGTTAAAATGCTCCATGGATTGCCATTTCACGTTTCAATAATCTCATAATTATAAGTGTTTTTTTATACCAAAATATGCTCTTCCTTCATGCGATAGGGCAGCTATTGTACACTGCTAATCGAAACATGCGTGAATCAACAAGCAACACTCACACACCATATCCCCTGCCCTGATCGACACTTCACAATGCTTCACATAACCACTGTATTTTAGATCATCCAAAATCAAATGTATTGAAGCCGGCGAAAAAATCTTTAAAAGTCCGGCTTTGAAAGTAGGCTCTGGATCCGAAATATCATTGAGTTTGTCAGATTGTACCAATTTGGCTAAGCATCCTCGGTTGTCATCATGACCTCCACTTACAAGAAATCTTACGCCAGTCAAATGTTTCAGAGTTCTGCTGCAAAAAACCTATAAGAGTAGGCTAACACAGTAAAGATATTTTTCTATAGTTGGGCGTCTTTCAGTGGACGTTGGCTAGACAGTTAAGGTCAGAATTTATCTACTGCAAAGAACCCTATGTCATGGGCATTAAATGCACTGTTCGCCAGCGCGGCAGCAAATGCGGTTTTAAAAGCAAGAAAACTGCTGAAAGCTTCAGGGCATCCTGGAGATACACGCTTACAAAAAAATAAAGAATAATTCTTCTAAATGCGCCGCTTGCTCGGCACTAGAAAACTACTTTTCCCGTAGCATCAGAACCGTGCTTAAACGCATCAGACAATTAACAGCAAAAGACAAAGGGGCTGACAAACGGCAGCCTTGGTGAGGGGGGGGGAGGGCTGATAAGAAAACACACTTATCCGCGCTCCGTTGTCGGCGATAACGTCCGACAGAAAGGCGATGAACTGTTGAAGACGAATTGATATTCCTAATAGTACAGTCTGTTTGTTGGCCAACCGGAAACTACTGACTGCAAGGATGTGAAATCTGCATCCGTTTGGACAGCTGCTTGCAGTAGCGCTCACAGCCGACAATCTAACCACCGACAAATGAAGTAAGGTTTTATCAGATGCGACAGGGAGTAAGCCAACGTCCTGGAAACTGCATCAGCCTAAGCTAAAGCCGAGATTGTCTACTTTAGTATACACTGAAATCGCAAACTCTATCTACCCAATCTCGTCATATGATTGCAGATTTAATCGGTTGTGAGTTAAAAATAGGAGTTGTCGCTGACAGCGCTGCGGCTGCTTGCGGGACTTGAGGGTGATTGGTGAGTGCCCCACTATTACTGTTAACATAATCCATCAAAACTGACGGAACAAAGAGCCCGTGACTCAATGGTTGGGGCGTTACACTTGTCACCAATAGGTCTTGGAGTCGAGCCCCAAATGCTCTAACGTCTAGGGTTTGGCATAGATGGCTGATGCAAATTAATAAACCAGGAATGGCCATTCAGATCTCCCTTGGCTTTGTCAGTTATATTATTCTGCTTATAATATATACTAGCGGCTGGACGGCTGCCGGCAGAACTGGAGAGTACACCCCAAGGCACAATGGGAGAATCGCGTCCGGTAACGTGATCGCTGAGCTCCCCCTAAAACTGTTACTATTCACAAATCTATATTACCGACATGGGCGTTTACTTCAGTGTCTGGTTGGAAGTTCGAAGTCCGGCCAGATCTGATTCAAATAACAAAAACGAACCCACATAATATTAGTGCACAACCGGTTCATAGAGAAGAGCTGCAGTGCGCCTGCTTTCCGGCCTTTTAAATAGAGCTCAAAACCACTGCGATAGAAATTGCTCAGATAATGTTTAAACATGCCACTTGTAAGCAGTAAATTAGACGGCACACAATGAGCTCTGGGGAAACAAAGTAACTGCAGGACTTTTTTTGACTCCTTCACTTCTTTTGTCTACCATTCACGACGGAATGAATACCCACACATTTATTCGAATAGTAGGAAGTCGACAGTCATTGTTCTTAGTAGATAAGATAGAAAATTTAACTGCTCACTCGCTGGGGTGCTGTTACTGCCCAGCAAGAAGCGGAGATATAAGTCTGTAGCATTATGCACGGCATAAGCAGTTTCAGTTTAGATGTCTGCCTGGGGATGTCTGCCCGCTGGGCAAGGATTCTC